TTTCCTACGCTGCATGTTCTGATTTTCATTGTTAATAGTTTTAATGAGTTAAGCCTTTTGCCAATGGAATTCACAGTATGAATTGTCACCAGCTCCTTATGGAGCTGGGATAATCCCTGCTTGGTTTTGGCTGCAAGGACACACACCCTGCCTGGGCTTGCCCACTAGAGCTTACCTCAGCCAGGTGAAGAGGGGAAAGCCACACTGTCACCAGTCCTCACCTGCCTGAACCAAACCCAAGGAAAGATGGAGCTTTGGTGAACTGACCTTTAAGTTAATAAACTATTGATCTCCCCGACAAATGAATCTGTGCTTTTTCCAAATCCATGCAGCTGCCACCCTGACTGGAGACAGGGCAGGGCAGCAATGTTTCACACGTCTTTATTATACTAGACAAAACAGCTCTCCTGCCTGGAGGGTCAGCCCAGAGCACCCGTGGGAGAAACACTCAGGAACAGATGAGCTGCACCTGCAAAACTATTGTTCTCAAAACTATTGTCCTCTGTACCTTCAGAGGAAACTCAAATCCCTAATCCCTGCCCCTTGCCAGGCTGGGTTGGCATCTCTGGTGTGTTTGGGCTGCTACTTGGGCATGGCTGGGTGTGTTCTCCGGTGTGGGAGATCCCAGATGAGCTGGCAGGAGGGCTTGCTCCCCCTTTCCACGCATGCAAAGAGCATCCTGTGGCCCCCAATGCAGTTCACAGTCCCCACTGTCCCCGTTTAGCTGTCTGAGGAAGGAGAGGAGCTGCTGGTGTGTCCAGGAGTGGAGGGAGATGTGGAGCCTTTTGTTTGTGGTGTTGCTTTTGCAATGTTTAATCATGGGCCAGGTGCCCAGGGTAGTGCCTGGATATCTGGAAATGAGCTTTATAAGTGTAAGAAAATGAAAAGCCCTGCCCTAAGGGAAGATCCTTCCTCAGAGATGTGCTGCTGTGGGCTCCTACTTCTCACAGATCTTCACATTTATCAGATGATAAATGTGAATTAATCAGATTATTTCTCACATATGGTAATCTCTTGCTCCAGGATTCCCCTTTCAGTCTTGGGCCAAACCAGAGGTCAGAACTGTGGTGAAATGCTCCTGGATTCTGCCCCTTTGGCTGTAAAATACCCAACTTTCATTTCTGTTGCTGTTATTCAGTCCAAAACCAGGAGCCGTGGGTCAGAAGTACTGAGTCAGCCTTTCAGTTCTCTGGCTCACAGCAGCCTGCCTCTAAATACTGCTGTCTGGTATATTTAGGTGTGCAGAAATGCTAAAAAAAAAGAAAATGTTTACCCTTACATCCTTGGCATAACTTAAAATACACTCTGGGGAAGCAATGCAATTTAAGATGACCAGTCCCCAGCACTCCCAGCTGTGGGTCAGAAGTACTGAGTCAGCCTTTCAGTTCTCTGGCTCACAGCAGCCTGCCTCTAAATACTGCTGTCTGGTATATTTAGGTGTGCAGAAATGCTAAAAAAAAAGAAAATGTTTACCCTTACATCCTTGGCATAACTTAAAATACACTCTGGGGAAGCAATGCAATTTAAGATGACCAGTCCCCAGCACTCCCAGCTTTATCCTGCTTTGCCCTCCAGCTTTTTAAGAGAAACAAATTCTACACATTGAGTTCATGCAACAACATCAGCTTCCAGCCTTTCCCTCAGAAATCATTCTTGGAAAGTAATAAAATTCAGATTATTTCTCCAAGCTGTTGCAATACTTGCTTGGAGCTATTAAAGTCTGACTCTGGTATGCTCAGAGAATCAAAGTGACTGTGTCTTCAAGATAAATGCATATTTAGGCAATTTATTAAAGCTCATTTCTCTATTGTCTCTTGGCAACAAAGCCAAATCTACAATAGTTGTTTTCTGGAAAATCTTAGTGCAGCCTGACTCCTCATTTGCTGTTTGGCTGTGAGGTTGCATCCACGGCCATCTGCCATTGTGTAGTTGGCAGGTGGGGAACACACATCTTAAAAATCATTGCTTTGACTTTCCATTGCAAAGAAAGGGCTGTCTAGAGCTCGTGTACAGAGTCTGAGCCCAACAATCTGTCTGTTTGCAATTACAATTCTATTGTGGCTGTAGAGCTGAGGCATGCAGCTGCATTGTGCTGGGGGAGAAAGGTCCGTGTTTTATTTGGCCTTGTCAGACGCAGGACCTGCTTTCCAGGAGGCTGAAAAGAGTCTCCTTTAACAACTGCCTGAAATGACTAAAGGCTCTGTTGTCTTTCCCACCGCATGATGCCTGAGTCACGTACAACACTGCTGCTAATTCTTTGTGCTTTCTTATGACAGCTCTCTCCTTCTTGCTCTCTCCTAACTGCTTCGAAACCGATGCAGATGTAAAAACCTGACTACGTGCCTTCGCAGACAGCTTTGGTGAGGGTTTTTTAAAGCAGGGAGCACAGGAGCTGCCTGACCCCAGCTGACACCTCCACAGGGCTCGCCAGCTCTGACGCTGTCGTCCTGGGGAATGAGCCAGGCGTCACGCTCAGGGTGATGCCCCCAGATGCTCCCAAAAGAAAAGTATGAGCCATCACTCTGCTGTGCCAAATGTGGCTGCAGCATTTAACCTATTATCATATCCTCTGGGTTCACAGCAATGTCCTGGCTCAAGAAAAATATCCTTCCTTTGAGAGCCGTGGATCAAGCAATCATTCTCGTCTCACTCAGAGGGCTTTGAGGGCTGGGGAAGGATTTCTCCAGAAGCAGTGGCTTGGTGACATTCAGCAGGTTTTTGGGACCAGTGGGTGGTCAACTGCTTCCCTTCATGTCTCACTTCAGTCCAGTCTTCTGCATTGTGGTTCACCTGCCTGCAGAACCCTACTGCCACCAGCTGTGCCCTGCCAGCGGGGCCAAGTGCCTTGGCCACAGCAGCCCAACAGCCCAGCCAGGCACCAACCTCACACCCAGTGACCTGCTTCCCAGTGAGGTGGAGTTTCCTGGCCCTACATGGCAGGCTGAGCCATCTCGGCTCCCCCAGCACTACTCCCAGCTCTTCCTTGCCATTCTTCCAATTTCCAGAGCAGGTAAGGGGGATGTAGTCACTCCCAGGTAACAAGTGACAGAAGGAGAGGGCATAGTCTAAAGCTGGGCCAGGGGAAGTTCAGACTGAACATTAGGAAAAATTTCTTTACAGAAAGGATGATCAGGCACTGGAACAGACTGCCCGGTCCCTATCCCCGGAGCTGTTTAAGGAGAGACTGGATGTGGCACTCAGTGCCATGGTCTAGTTGACATGGTGGTGTTAGGTCATGAGTTGGACTCAATGACCTCAGAGGTCTGTTCCAACCTTCATGATTCTGTGATTTGAAAGCATGTTTTATCTCACAGGCAAAGGGTGAACGTCATGTCACAGCCTGTGGCATGTTCCCAGCTCCTCACAGCCTCGCTGAGACCAGGAATGTACTGGAAGTGCCAGAGCAACTGCCTCAAACACTGCACGGGAAAGGTGCTTATGGGCAACACAATGTCCAAGAGCAAAGGGTGTGCAGCTGCTTGGAATGAGGGAAAGCACCCAGAGCTGTGCATGTTGTGGAAGCTGTCCTGGCTGTGTAGAAGGAGGGGAGCAGCATGTGTTTGAACATGCAGTCCCACCAGCTGAGTGCTTAGAAGCCAGCTCTGTCTGAAGAGAAGCAGCTCGCTGCCAGTCATCATCTGAAGCAGGTTCCCTGCTCTGCCTGGATTTCTGCAGATAAATCTGTGCCTGGAAACACCAGAAGCTGAGACAACCTCTGGTGTCATCTTGACACCTTTGAGCTCCTTTAGGGTAAAATCGATAGCAAAGCAAAGTCC